TGGTGAATTTCCTTTCTTGAAGTAACATTTTTCTTCATTGTGATTATTCTTTTTGCATGTATTTTACCACTTGTTTGTTCTTTGATGTTGATTCGATCTCTGGCCAAATTTTGCTCCTTTGATTCTTGCATAAAAAGCTCATTCGATAGGTTCATCATCTGGTAGGTACTTTGCTTCAAGTGAGATTGGTGATCCAACGAGATCTGTCACAATAATCTTCTTTAGATCTTTGGTTTCTTGCATTAATGCCGGCAATCTGGCATAACCCTTTGGCATCGAGTTTAGTATCTTCCAGATTACTTGATGATTTGTCTTCTCTTCTCATAGTAAACTCACCTGGTTCACCACCTCTTGTACTTTATATGTGTAATCTCGGATCTTTTCTCCTTCCTTCATCTTCAGATCTTCGAACTCCTTGTTCAAACAATCCAGCCTCACAAGTTTCGCTTGGTCGTTGCCTTGATAGGTTTCTTGTAGCCTTTGCCAAAAATCCTTCGATGTAGTTGCAGAAACTACTTTCATTAAAATCAAATCTATCATAGCCATCTGTAACAATTGTAGAGTTTTCATATCTGGCATCTCTTTTTCTTTCCATTCTTCTAATAATTTTCCTTTTTCTTCAGGTTTTTCTTTTGGCTTTGGTGGAAGTCCTCCCTCCACAATTTCCCAAAACTCTTGAATCCTTCAAGTAGTTTTGATCCTTGTAGCCCTAGCCCAAAACTCATAGTTTTGTCCATTAAACACTGAAATTGTTACTGTTTGCAAGGTTTTAGTCATCTTTTAGTTTCTGCCAGACTTTGCACGAACCCGGATTTTGCACAGAACGATTTTTGTCGAACTCGGATTTTGCACAGAGACGAACTGGTTTCTTTTCACGAACCCAAATTATGATCAGAACGATTTTGCAGCGGAATTAGTTTCACACAAATTTTGCACGAAACGAATTCTTTTAAGAACACTCAGGACCTTGGCTCTGATACCATGTTGCGATTTTCTCTATGAAAATATATTTTCTTAAACCTCTCTTTTGATTATTAATTCTCTCTTTCTTTCTCTTTGTTTTTGTTATTAATTTTCTAAACAATACAGTAAATTGCTATTTCCTAATGTTTGTCTTTTCTTCATGATTTCCTTTTTCTCTCATTTCTTTTGTTGTTTGATTTTCCTTTTGCTTGTTTTTCTTTTTTCTTTGTTTTCCTTGATTTTCTTTTTTACTTGATATTCACTTTTTTTTTATAGAAAACGAATCTATTCCATAAATGTTTGGTTCACTAATGTTTGGTTCCTATGTACAGTAAAAGCGGTAAAAAACTACACAAAGTACATATTTTTCGGAGAACAAACGAAGCTCTCTTCCATAATTTCCCGCATGTTTTTGGTTTAGATCTTACCTAATTCTCAAAACGTTATGGCAGAGTCATCGTAAATTAGGAAACTCTAACCCTGTTACGAAGATAAACTTTGGCATATGTTTACGAACATCCGTCCAACCGCTACGGTGAAACCGTCTCAAACGCCACAATTGACGACGTTGTCGGTACAAAGAAACTTTACAAAGAGAGACAAAACGGTCACCGAATGGGACCGACATCAACAAAATAAAATAGGAGAATGATCCCTTGCAGAATCCAGCAATAAGAACATAGAATTGAAACTCTGTTGTAGGAGCGTACTACCACGCAAAACGTGTAGGACCATAAACACGAAAATATCCAAAACAATGGCTGCCACT